AAAATATTTTCAGCAGTATGCTGATCATTGAAATCACGAAATGCAAGAACACGTTTATGCATAATCCAATCACTATCTATCCAATGACAAGTAACACCCATATAAGACAAATTATGATAAGTTTCACCCCAAATATCAGAACAAATAGCAACACGAGAATTAAAATTGAGAAAAAAATTTGCCAAATTAATTTTTTCCATTTTATACTCGCGAATAATTTCTCGTTTAATTGTTTTTCTTGAAAAGCCTCGTGCTTGAGGGTTTAATGCCTGTTGACAATAATCAATAAAACCAAGTTTTTCAGAAAACATGTATGGCAAATTTTCTTCACAAATCATTTTGGCCATTTTTTGCTTATTTTGCTCGTCGCTATAAGCAAAAAGGCCGCCCTTACCTCTGTTAGCAAACCGAGAAATTTGGGTTTGGACTTCTTGTCGTCCCTTCTTTTTTGCCTCGTATTTGGCGTACTCAACGGGATGCCTCGACCTTAGGTGTTTTTCCGGACCGCCATAACAGCCGGAAACTCCCATTTTTATGACGGTACCGCAATGTTTACAAGTTCCATAAACTATGCCATCTTTTGTGTCTTTGTCAAAATGATAAACAAATAAATCTGATTTATATTTTTTTTACCTTTGTCCGGACCTCGAGAGGTCTCGGGCTCACCTGCCTCCATGTCGACGTCGTTGCTTTGCGGTGTAGGCTCATCGTCCCCGTCAAGATTATCCAGTCCTGCTTCATCAACATCCTCGAATAGACTATCAAGAGTGGGGAGATTCGCGTCCCCTCTACCAGAATAAATCTGGTTGAATTCTTCATCCGTCATAGCGTCCCCGATTAAATGATCTGGGACATTAGGAAACGAAGAGACGGAGTGTCTTCCTCGAGAACCGCGTCCGCGTGAGGTCGAACCGTCGGAGGTGGCTTTAGCTTTGCCTTTACTCAATCTTCGGTTCACATCGCCCATATCCACGGACCTTCTACCGGACTCCCTCGACATTTTAATATATATTTTTTGATATTAAAATAATATATTACTTTTGGAAAAATTAAAAAAATTTCGAAATTTTATATATTAAAATTTCGAAAATTTCAATAAATAATAGAGAATATATTTAAAATATAAATTATATTTTTTTTGATATTAAAGATATATTAAATTTAGAAAATTTCAAATAATTTCGAAATTTTATATATTAAAATATAATATATTTAAAAAAGATAGATAAGAATTAAGAAATTAAGAATGATTGATAAGAATTAAGAAATTAAGAATGATAGATTGAGATTTGAGAATTGAGAGAATGAGAGATGGATTGAGTATTTGAGATTTTGAGTGTGATATTTTATGAAAAAAAGGGGTATTTATAATATTTTT